AGCATGTCACCATCTCAATTGAAATGCTCCATACCAATGACGGCAGAGCCACAAACCAAGGCAGTCATCCCCCACACAATCGCAATTTAACACCATCACAACACATACAATTTGAATTAGGATCCCCCACTGAACTGATCTAATGCCGAACAGGTACGCACAATTTGTGACGATCCCGAATACCCAATGGTCACAACAATACACCTCAAATCCCGTATCCGTACACATCATCTCCGAGACTCGCATTGCAGCATGCAGCTGTACCACCCGAGTTGAGAGAGCAACGCAATTTGGCGGAAATTAACAGAAACGCACCCCCATCCATGTAGAACACAAGGGGCAATCCCGCACAAAAGACATCATCTGTGCAACAACGGACAGGAACCAACCAGTGAGTTTGAAACACACCGAACCTGTCATTTCAAAATCCCCTTCAACATTAACCATGGGACTCAGGGCATTTAAATTTTGAGAGCAAAAAAACTAGAGACAAAACCCAAGAATCGCCGAATTGAGTAATACAGTATATGTGTACGACTGACGCGACAGCTTCTTTGTCTCGATTTAAAGCTTTCGTGACTGCAGGGATTCATCTTCTTGGTTCTTTCGGTAATGTCACGTAGAATGGAAATAATAAAATAATAAAATAAAACATTATAAAATAATTCTCACGACGTTTCGGCCACAACGCAAGCAGCCGTCCTCAGGTGAAGAACAGGTTTGTCAGAAAGACAGCGTCTGAATGAACACTACCAGGCTTGGCAGCGTATATTTAAGCTGCATTTCCCATAAATATGCTAAATTCCTCTTGATATGCAAATTCCTTTGTCAAGGCGCTCTTTCCCCTCCAACCCAGCTTAAATATACGCTGCCAAGCCTGGTGGTGTTCATTCAGATGCTGTCTTTCTGACAGACCTGTTCTTCACCTGAGGACGGCTGCTTGCGTTGTGGCCGAAACGTCGTGAGAATTATTTTATTATGTTTTATTTTTATTATTTTATTATTTCCATTCTACGTGACTTTACCGAAAGAACCAAGAAGACGCCTATAGTTCACATCTCCTCCGTCGGCATCACCCAATGTCCCTCCATTCTCTCCAACGCACAACTCCCCATCCACATCACTCAATGTCCCTCCGTTCGCTCGCTCCGCTGGCTTCGCTCGCTCTCCCTCTGCTTCCCTCCTCCAGCGACCTCCCTCTCTGCTTTCTCCCTCTCTCCAGTTCGGTCGCTCTTTGTTCTCCCTGCCGTTTTACTCCGTCGTAGCTTCTCCTCCAAGGTCCGTTACTCCGCTGCTATCCTATACTGTATTCTCTTTATCCGTTGCTACCATCACTATCTCCCTCTGTCCACTGCTACCTTATACTATAAATCTTGTCTACTGCTACCGTATACTATACTTTCTTGTCTACTGCTACCGTATACTATACTTTTTCACCTGCTGCTCCGTCTCTTCCTCTATCTGTCTCTTGTCCCAGGCACCAACCAACTCCCGTTTCTCCCCACGCTCTTTGCCTTTATCCCCGAACCAATTTGCCCCAATCAATTAGATCATCCCCCGCTTCGCTACTCGCCCCCGGCCCCCAGCGTCACGTGATGTTGTTGTTGTAGACACCGCGGCGCCAATCTCAGACACACCTCTCGACCAATCACCGGCCTGCGTCCTCGATTACCCCGAACACCTGCAGGCCTTCCCTTAATTACCTTACCACCTTAATTGGCACAATAACAACAGTATGGCGCCCCGGTCCCTGTGTCCCCATTTGCCCTCACTGTTCCCCCGCGTGACCGTATTACAACCCAACGCGTGACGTGTGTTTTCTTAAGTCCTACATATGCAGTCCGCATATAGTCAACCATCTCGAGCAATGCTCCATACAGCCCCGTACATCATTCCGTACATCGTCAACAAGCTTAACTCCGTAACAACAACCAAAAAAATGTCACAACACGAATCATTAACACGGCAACCCACGGGATATTAAGGGAGCTCGGGACACCTGACGGAACAAAATTAATCATTAACTGGCCCCTCAAGATAAACAATCCCAACGCCGTAATTAAAATGAACAATGTTACACGCGGACACCCGACACGAACGCCGCGACCAGACGCAACTTATAGAAAGCAAATTGACGCCCCGCAACCCGGCGAGAAAAATAAACAAAAAATAACACGAACCCCAACCCGGCGCACGCAAGGATGGATGAAGTGTTAATAGGGGCCGGGTGTGTGTAGTATCACGCATCGCCTGGCAAGCTGTGAAGAGCAGAGGGCAGCTAGGTGGAGTACCGGGACGCCCCGAAGAATCTTGCATGGTGAGCGCGGCCTCCTCTTGCGAACCGCAGCCGCCACTCGCACTCGAGCAGAAGACGGGGGCGCCACCTGAACGTGTGGAACTCCCCCTCCACAGGCGTTGATGTCAGCGGGAACGGCATTTTAGCGGGAACAGTGCCCCGGCCAGCCGCCGAAATGGCGGCCCCTCTGCGTGGCCCTCATGCCCGGGCTTCCCCAGCAGTGACAACGGCGTCCTCTCCCCGCGGCTCCGGCGCCCCTTCCCAGATGGTGGTGAAGCAGCGGTGCGATGCCAGTCCTGCCACTCCGTGTGCAGCGCCATCACTCTCACTGTCACCGGGGCTGCCATCCCCGGGGCTGTTCGAAGGATGGTCGTGACGCCGTCCTCGTCGCACGAAGGCGTCCAGGTGAGTTGTTTTCCTCGTGTGCTCATTTTACTACCCTAGGATAACACATAGCAATATTTATTTTCCCGCAACTTCTTGACACCAAATGTAGTTCGTTCGAATTAGGTGCACACACACAGCTTTGAGGGAACATTATTTATTAGAACGGTAAGTAATATAACACTGTACATAAGGTGGTGACCACCTTCCTCAAATCACTAACACTCTGGAACACTTTACAGCGTGACCCAGGCAGGCAACGGGCTGCCTGGTCACGGACGACGACCCAGGGACTTGAGGACCAATGATGTCGTCTTCACTTCGGGGTTGAACAGCCCCGCTCTGCGTTCACACCCTGCTTATAACCGCTCAGGCGTGTCCGGCTCTGCCCAGGCCACGCCTCCCTTCCCCAACCTCTGGGAAGGTCCGGGTCCTCCACCACGTGACCCCCCAGGCTCCCCCTTGGGGCCCCGAGCCCTCGTACGGGCCGACACAGTAGTGACGTCTTATGTCACTACATATGTAAGTGTGAGTCGATATGTGCGTGTAAGTCTATGTGTGTGTGAGTCGATTTGTGTGTGTAACTACGTGTGTCGAAAGTCTATGTCTGTGTGTGAGTCCATATGTGTGTGTGTGCGTGTAAGTCCATGTGTTTCTATGTGTGTGGGTCGATGTCTGTGTGTAAGTTCATGTGTGTCTGCCCTTTTCGCCAGGGCAACGCCGGGTACTTACCGCTAGTAAGAAATATTTTTAAACTTTTGAAAAAAACATTTTTGAAAGCACATATTTTATTTATAAATGTAAATTTTCATTATAACTTTTTTTTCTCGAGTACGGTAATTGTGAAACGCATGGCGTACGCATGAAGTGTCCATAAAAGGTGAATCGTGTAACTGAGAACTTGTGCTATGAGAGGGAGGCAAGCGCCTTACGCGAGGGATGGCCGAAACAGCCAACGTATCCGGGCTTCATTTATCTTGCTGAACAGAGATGTTAACTACCTCGCCTGGTATACAGAAGGTCGCGAGTTTGTTGGCGATGCTGACGCCTGCTGTATATATCGAGTTTGCGTGTTCTCCACGTGGTCGCGTGGATTTTTCTCCAGGTCTTCTCTCCACAGGTAGAAACGTGCGTTTCAGAGTATTTGGCTATCCGCATGAGCCACTTTGTTGCGCTATCATTTGTGACAGCCAGGTCGCTTCTGGCAAACAGCCATATAACTCAGTGGGTCATTAACTGGTAAAATAAAAAAAAAGTGTTTATGGTTTAAAGCCAAAGCGAGAGGTGGAGTGGATGTGGTGTGCCGGGTCTGGTCATCATTTCCGAGTTGCAGATGTCTGGCTGTAATGAAGCCCTGCTTGTTGCGTGTGTAGTGATATGGAATAGGTAACCACACCTTGTAGCGCTGGCTGCTGGCAAAAAGCTCAGCTGCCATGGCAACCCTGTCGGCTAGAGGTGGCGGGGTAGGCGGGAGGAAGGGATGTGGGGACGGAGGAGGTACGGGAGAAGCCCGGGAACCTTCTAGGGGGTTCTAGAAGGGGGGCGTAGCCAAGGGGGGACGAGGTTGCGCTGGGGGGATATAAGGGGGACCCCGGAGAGGACTCAGGGCCGTTGTTGGAGTGGACCCCTGGAGCCCGTCAAGTCCCATCAAGTCAAGTTCCGTTAAGTCTCGTCAAGTCTTCGTCATCGACAACATCGTCTTACCCTGGTCTCATCGTTGTGGGTCACGCAGCCCGTTGCTGTCCTGACCTTACTATAGTATTCTCAGTGGCTGCGAATGCTATAAATAGAGCGCCTCCTGATATCGTGTCTCTCTCGCCTGTCACTACACGTGTACCGAGGCAGTTCCTGAAGGCAGACGAGGAATTCGGTGCGCGAGAGCAGGTTGGAGTCTTTTTGGCAGACATCTCTTATCTACTGCTGGCCGATCGCCCCATCGTGTTATTGCCATGCCCGATTACGGACTGTCAAATGACCTATCTACAAAGCCTTAAATTGAAGCACCAATCGTAAACGTGACACGCAGACACCTCCGATTAGCACGGATGGCTATGTACGGTGCGACAGAAGTTCAACATATCAACATCTATAAGCCGCTAAAACTCAGGTCTGATTACGGATACGTTCAGCACAAAAAAACAAGTTGTGGCAATTGCTACGTTATAAAACTCCACTATCTACGGTTTAACGCGGTCTGTGAACGGCATCATTGTTTACCGTCAATGTATTTCCTTTTCATAGCATTTAGTTTGCAATGATGACACCTGCACTCGAGCAAAGGTTTTTTTCATCATTTCGTAGACCAGGTTACTCCTTTTTATTCAAGCATTTGTTTTATTGATTTATAACCAACAACATTTCTTGCCTATAAAGTAGCACAGCTTCAAAGGTACTTGATTGAAGGTTACACAAACCTTTTGGGATAAACCGGCATAAACACAACGTAAACACATCGTACGTGCACAGGCACAGTCTCACACAGCCGATCAACTCAAATGTATCGCTCCGATGATTACAATGAACCAAGTGCAGGGTGATCCATTTATTGTATTGATCACAGAGAGATGATGGGCTGAGTCAACCTCCATCCAGGATTTGGTTGGCGAGATGTTAACTCCCTCGCCTGTTATACAGAAGGTCGTAGGTTCGATCCTGACCGACGCTTGGAGTTTGCATATCTCTCTCCCCCGTGGTCAGGACTTTTCTCCGCGTTTAAGAGTATTTAAGCTGCGATAAAATTCCACATAAGCCACTTCGTAGAGATATCATTTGTGGCCAGGTCGTTTTATAGCTCGAATGGGCCTTATACCTGGTACAATAAAATAACATGATTTAAATTAGTTTCATTTGATAGACCGACAACACCCCGACCGAGTGCCCCATTCTGGTTTGCCAGTTCCGATGAAACCCCCGATTGCTCAACACATTCTTACCCGCCCAAAACGGACACCGTTCACGGCAGGAAAGCGACCTTGCTCTGCCGGAGCAGCCCTTAACGCGCGACATCGATCCCGACAGCGATACCATCCACGCCTCGCTCCCCGTGCGGCAGCGTGCGACTGGGTTACAAGGGGAGGTTGCGTTGGATGGACCACCCCCAACACCCTCCCCACCGCCCCCACCCTCCCACAATGGAACAAATTGGGGTTTATAATCAACGATTTTTGGGCTTAGATCGCGTTTATTTATAAATGTGTCGTAACCCTCCACCACCCGACACGGCCAATCAGTAAAAAATGTGTCACGTTGACAAAGACAAATAGTTCACTGCTTTAGCCCACCGGTGTGTTGAAGCAACAACATTCACAATTTGAGTACGACGTTTCGCTGGTAATTACAACCAGCATCATCGGGCAATTCGCCAGAGGGTTACGACACATTTATAAATAAACGCGATCTAAACCCAAAAATCGTTGATTATGAATAACATTGGTCGCGAAAGCCTACGTGTTAAATTGGGGTTTGGCCCCCCTTGCACGAGCTGCGACGCGCGCACGCGTGTACGATTGTCTGTTAATGGTTATCGGAATTTCGCATTTGAACGTAGCTGCTGCCCCCCACACATTTGGAACCTGCCCAGTTTCGTCTCTTGGCACATCTCCGTATGTGTGTGTCCTCATTTAAACTATCCATTAGATTTTTTGGGTTAGATCGCGTAAATATAAACGCGTCTTTTAACTCGCCACCACCCGACACAGCGAATTAATGAGGTTTGTTAGGGAAACAAAACGTGGAAATTCGTTACTAATTGTAAATGTTGTTGTAGCTTTACTCTCCAACACACAACCGGTGTGCTGTACTAGTAACGAATTGGCATGTTTTGTTTACGTGACAAACCTTACTAATTGGCCGTGTCGGGTGCTGGTGGGTTTAACGAGATATATATTTATGCGATCTAATCCAAAAAACTATCTTATTGATTTCGTTGGTCGCGAAAGCCTCATGTGTCCAACCAAAAACAAATCATACTGGCTAGGTTGGCAAAGTGCACCAGGCGAGATGTAAAACAATAACGTACACTGTATTGAGATCGGAGCTTCGCATTCAAATGCCGTTTTCTTAATACAAAAAATATCCCTATTATTTTAGTGGGGGGGGGGGGGGGGGGGGTATCTATAAATGGATCACCCTGTGTTTCAAACTTCAAATGTACAACGAAGCAGATCCTACCATCAAAACTGATGCATTCACCAAACCAGATGCATTAACCGAGGTTTACCCGAGTTCATAGCGGCCCTGAGAACGATTGTTAAAGGGCGCTTTATAAATTTAAAATATTAGTCATTCACGTCGCATGCACGGGTCAATGTACAGTTTGAACGAGTTTCTTTAGCTGTATTATAAGCGGTTCGCAAACCATTTGGCATTCCGTCAGGTGGCACTACACCGCGTTGTTAAACCGCTCTCCCGAGTCCCGAATGATCAATACGGTAGGGTCCCTCGGTTAACGATGTTAATGGGTTCCACGAAAACCCGTCGTTAATAGAAATAATCGTGAATCGAATGTAGGAAATGCACATTTAGAGGGCTCCATTTGTTCCGAGACGATCAGAAGTTGACCTTTTTTTCCCACCCTAAAAATATTCTTTGTAATATTAAAACACGCAATTTTAATAAATAAACGTTATAAGAACATGTTAAGTATTAAAGAGAGCTGTGTTTTTCCATAAACAACACACATCAAACATTGAAAAGCCAGCAGCCAGTTGCTCCCAAAACGCTCATCGTAAGGGGACGTCGCCGACTGGCTGAGGTCTGCTGCAGAGCCCACTTTAGGAGCGCTTCGATTGGCCGAAATTGGCGGGGCCACGTGACACCGTAAAACAAAAACGTTAATCGAAAATGTTCCGTTAATAGAAACAATGGGGACCCCTTACGGGGAGAGGCGGATCTTTAATCAAAATCTCGTTAATCGATTGGCATGGTAAACCGAGGGGGCTACTGTACAAACGACCTTGGATGCTATCAAACGGGCTCAATGTATGCCTCAAAATGCCCACGAAGAGACCGCTACAGGTACAATATTGCAAGGGTTCCTAGCACCATTCCAACACCGCAAGGCAAGGTATAAGCGGCCCCCCGCTGGGCTCAAAGAACGGCTACAAAATGCAAGGTCAGAATATTTGTGGGGGGAAATAAAAAATATTAATCACCTTCATCGTTTTCTGTAATTCAATAAACGGCTCCCGTTGATGACATGCGAGATAGTTGCTCTCTCTGGTCGATGTAGTGCAATGACTGGCGTGTTATCGTGCCAAAACGAGTCTCGGTAGGGACATTACCGGCCCAAGTGTTGTTGCTTGATACCCCGTCGAGCTGAAGTAACTTCCGAATGCCGTACTATTAAAAAAACTTTGGCAGTTTTTAACATTGGTGATATTTTTTATGTAAAGTATTCGCTGGCTTTGCACGAAAGGATTACATAGCTGTCAACCCATACGGTTTACCCCATATTCTTGTACAGGGAAAATTAATTTTCAGGTCCATACGGTGTACAGCCGTTTCAATACGGGAAACAACAAAATCACGTCTGTTTGTTTTCTCCCTTGTGATGGGACTTTATAGGATGAACGTTGAAATGTATAAGGGCACGGGGTGACCAATAAGGCCTGAATTGGTCTGTAGTAAGGTAGGCAACTGATAAGGGATTGACAGGCATGGGATGATGGGCGCAGGTCAAGTGTACCTCCAAATGACAACCGAAAAACAAAGCATGGTGAGAACATGCAAAATGAACAATTATTTAACAACAAAAATTGTTAAATAATTTTCCTATTTTGACACAAAAGCATTGGGCGAAATTGCCGTGAGCAGTTGGACTGCAGTTTTACGTTTAAGACGACACAATACCGCAAATGATGCAGTGCCACTTGATTTTAGGCGATCACCTATCAAAACTACTAATGTAAAATCATACACAAGTCAGTATTTTTTTTTTACAATCTAACCTTGTTTTACTTTGGTCCAATTATAAATACATTCTATCTCAATGAACTGTTTACGTTAAACATGCAAACCTTCGCAACCAATGGTTCACGATCGATGTTTGGGTCAGACTGCTTAAGTATGTTTGCCGTACATCATCCTCCACCTGACGCGGCCAATTCATAATAAAGTCGTCGCACGTGAACGAACGTCCAAACTTACTACTGCTTGAGCATGGCGGTGTGTGAGCGAACAATCCACAACATTTATAACTTGGTACAAGGTTTCGCTGCTAGTTACAACCAGCATCATCTGAACACTTTCAGGATTTCTGGCAATTGCCCGCCGCTTGTTCACGTAACTTCATTAATTTGCTGTCGGGTGCAGAAGGGTTTACAACACACATTTTCCCTTGAGAGCTGTTTTTTGTTGTGTTTAGTTTGTTGTCCTCCCGCACCTCCGATGAGCACGGTTGGCTACGTACGGTGCGAAAGAAGTTCAACAGACATAACTACACGGTCTAACCCAAACATCAAATATGGACTGTATACGACATAAACAACTAATTGTACGCAATTGATAATTCTGTGAAGTTGATTATGACGAGCCAAGCGGTTTCCTCCATATAAGTGGGATCGCAATGCTGTCTCCACAAGGTCCTGGCTCGTCGGAACGCAACGGGGGGGGGGGGGGGGGGGATTTCACGAGTTTCTCTCAGACCTCCGTGATCCACCAACCCCTGCCTGGCAGGCTTGCGCCCAACGAGTGGCCTCGCTCTGCTGAGCCAGCGAGTGTAAATCAAACATTCCTATGGGTTCAGACTACTCTATAAAATGAGCAATATATTAAATATATCCTTTGATTACATCTTACTTAAAAAGTTGTAGTCCTTTATGTCCTCATTTTTGTATGCGTACGGTGCTGTTTGAATTGCATACTTGGAGGTGCATTCAGCTCAGTGATGCTACCCGTCTTCCTCCAAGATGACATGAACTCTTATGTATGTGTAGTACAGGGTGCGTCAAATTTTTGTTTAACACTTCTGAGAATTGCAACAATACCACAAGAAATGTGCCTCCGGGCTCTGGAAACCATCTGGAGAAGATTCCAGGCATGTGTTGACAATGATGCGAACAAATGGAGACTGACTTTTTGAAGCTATTAACATACATTTGTTATTATTCCATTAAAAACAATAGTCCCATATAAGTGAAAATATTTTTTTGAAGCACCCTGTACATTGAGGGAAAACAAAGTTATTTTCCTGCGACAGTAAACTGCGTGAAATCATAGCCAGGATATAAAAGAGCACACAACCTTTTATTTAAATTCACGATCGTTTGCCTAAATTAACGCCTTCCGAGATCACCGAATTCTCGGCACCTGCATTGGCAGCGCTTTCCCATCACGTCAGGTGCTGTGCACTTGGCATCCTACAGAGAACATCTGACGGGCAGCCACTTCACCTAATGCGCAAAAAGCGCTTGAAACTCTGCCGCGTGCAGTGTTGTCGCGCGATCGGGGGGGGGGGGGTCTCTGCCCCAATAGGTGGCATTCATTGTTCGTCTTCACGAAAGGATTATTGCGAAGCCATATATCGTGGTCACACATTGTGTATACACACATTCCCAGTTGATAAAAAGCAGGCATCATGCTCTCCATGCATCACTGGCGAACCGGCTAAGGAGCAGCAAGGGGCGAGCTGCAACCTCGCATTAAAAATACCAGACCAGCTACAAAGACGACGACCTCAATTGAAACAAATGTTGAATTGTAAAAGATGCACGATAAATATATAACGTCCTATGTAGAAATTACTTCCTTCTACATATGAAGGCATGCAAGGTCTTTACATGCCAAACATTACATTACTGACCGAGCGTTTGGCAAAACATGGGAAATATTAGTGAGCACAAGAGTCTCTCATTTGTTATTTACAGTTTTTCAACAACTGAAAAAGTTTGGTCCGAGAGCGTAAACCGTCAGTCATTTCAGAATTTGCGGGTGAAAAACTTTAACTCGGTAGATTTGTTATTCTGCAAGGACAATGTATGCTAATCTTGGAAACTAACCTTGGAATGGGGACTGACATTCGTGTGGGACGTTGGAGATCGTAAAAAAGAACAACGCTCAAATTTTCAATTTCCTAACAGTGCTTCGCGCACCACCGCGGCTACAAAGCACGAAACAAGCCAACGGCTCTCTCGCCGCCCACAAGAACGTTGGCGTTTTAACGGCAGCGCGTAGAGGCGGATGCCAGCGTGTCCCCGACGGCACAGATCTACAGTGCCACGCCAGGAATCGGCACCGCCGCACGCATGACCCCCCCCAAGCTTCGCGGGCGAGAGACTGCCGCGCGTGGGGTCTCTCGTGCCGCTCGTTCCGATTCCGCTTTCATTTGGCACTCACCAAATTGTAAATGCTGTGGGTTCACTCTTCAACACACCGGGTGTGCTGAACTAGTAACAAATCGGCACGTTTTGTTTACGTGACAAACCTTACCAATTGGCCGTGTTGGGCAGTGGCGGTGTTTAACGACAGGGATCTAACCCAAAAAAAAACCCTCTTGTGGATAAGTGCTGCACGTTTGATCCCAACTTCAGTCCTGTCCTATATTAAATACGAACATTTCCGTAAAATCACGCATTGCAAGTTTTCACATTGAACCACGTTTGTTTACATTCCAAAAGGCGAAGCCTTGTTTCGTACACCGGCCATTTATAAAAGGAAAAAAAATGGTTTTTAGTTTTATTTCAATGCCGACGTTGAATCCGTGCCTGTGCCGTAGCCTGGCGCGTACACTCAGGCCTGGTCGCAGTACAGCTGTGAGGCGAGGTACACCAGGTGGGCGTTGGCCTCCCCCGTCGTGATGGTCACAGACGCCTGCCCTCCTCCGCCGCCGTCTGTGACGATCACCTCCGTGGGAAGGTGGGATGTTGTCATGGCAACCAATTGCTCTATGGGTAGAATATCGGCCTCAGATTTCGGTTCTGTTTTCAGGTATGACGTGGAAGAGTCCTCCATGTCGGTCTTCTTATTGGAAAAATTTTCACCTGTGGAAGAAAAAAATTCGAATCAGATCTGCATATGGATATACATACGGTTTAACATGTAGGCTTTCGCGACCAATATTATCCATAATAGGTTTTTGGGTTAGATCGCGCTAATATAAATGTGTCGTTACACCCGCCACAGCCAATTTGTAAGGTTTGTCACGTAAATAAAATGTGCCAATTAGTTACTAGTGCAGCACACCGATGTGTTGGAGAGTAAACCCACTACAACATTTACAATTCGAGTACCATGACGTTTCGCCAGTAATTACAACAACAACCAGCCTCATCAGGTGACTGCCAAATCTAGTTGTCACCTGAAGGCTGTGTTGGATTGTGACTGGTTTAATGACACATTTATATTTACGCAATCTAACCCAAAAAAACCTCTATTATGGATATATACATATGTTGTACTTTTCCGCACCGTACGTAGCCAACTGTGCTAATTGGAGGTGCGGGATAAAGACAACAAACTAAACACAAAAAGCAGTTTTAGAGAAATGTGTTTTCAATCGAGATGATTTAAAAGTACACACAGCTCCTGTGGCTTCCTCATATCGAAAGAGCATTCCAGAAGGCCGCAGAAGTGCATCTCAAAGCGCGCGATACGGTAACTGTCTTTGTTCGATGGTTAGCCAAAAGCCACTGTGAGGATGACCGGAGTTTGCTTGATGGTTTATGCAATAAACATCACCTGAAAGTGTGATCTGTATGATAGTGGTGTGGGTCCTGTGATTACAGTAAATCATTTCCTTTGAAGTTGCTATTATTCTGATGCTAGTTTACCCTGCTAAAGGCACCACGGTGGCGAGATGTTAACTACCTCATCTGGTGTACATCTTTCGGATGCGCATCTGTGGCCGTCTGGAACGCTCTTGCTTACGATATTCGGCTCATTGGAGCGATGCACTTTGAAATCAACATCTAGATTGACAAACTAATTTCTTTACAACTACTTTTTGTGTTTAGTTTGTTGTCCTTCGATTCGCATGGTTGGCTATGTACGGTGCGAAAGAAGTTAAACATATACACGTATAAGTGTTACAGCTCTGCAACACTGCCGCCCTAATGCAGCGTTCGAAGGTAAATGTTTAGAAAGCCGTGTATGCTGCGCTGGTTTTATGTTCACCATTCAATCCTTGCAGCCTACGCCAGCTTACCCAAATGCACGCGGTTGAGGTGCTTGCGCAGATTTTTTGCATCCGTGTACAAGTTTCCACATATTTCACAAATAAACGGCCTCTCGCCTGCAGAAAACACAAAAATGTTACACATCTGTATTAATATACAAACAATGCTGCTTTAAGCTAGTGACCAATGTTTAAAACCATAAATATCAGTGAATTGCGGTTAAGATCCCAAGTGGGAAATAAAAATACTATAAACTGGTTGGTGAAGTGGAATTGCTATTAAATCTTGATTTAAAGCTTTTGTGACTGCAGGAATTCATATTCTTTGGGTCTTTCGGTAAAGTCACGTAGAAAAGTTCAAAGTAAATAACAAAAATAACAAATAACTACGACGTTTCCATCGCAATGCAAGCGGTCGTCATCAGGCTGAAAAATGAGAGGAAAGCTGCTGAAGCAGACTGTTTTAAGGTTTTTAAATGGGTGTAGCCCAAGGGTCATAAACGAAGTGGGCGGGGCAATTGATGTTAATGTATGATCGGAGGGCGACCTCCACAACGAGTGCGCGGAGATGGCCATGTTAATGTGAGAGAAATTAGCATGTTAATGTCAGATCCTCAATTTGAATCCATCTTCTCGGTTGAAGTTATGTCTATGTTTGTATATCTGGATGGCTTCATGGACAAATCTTTGGTGGTATCCAGACGGCTTGCAGAGCACTTTGGTATCGGAGAAAACAATATCATGAGAGCCCTCAGCGTTGTAGCAGTGATCAGCCACGGCGGAAGAGTTCGTCCTGCCGTGTTTCAAATCTGCCTTGTGCTCGCGAATACGGTCTGATACATGTCGTTTCGTTTCCCCCATGTAACAATCACCACAAATGCAACTCAGTTTGTAGACCCCAGAGTACTGCTACTCAGGAATGACATCTTTTACAGATGGGATCAGATCACGGATTTTGTGTACTGGACTGAATCGGACCTGGATCTTGTGTTTGTTTAAGATTTTGGAAATCTTTTTGGTAATGCCTGCTATGTAAGGTAATGTGATGGTTCTGATCGGAGTCTCAGGGGGTTCTTTCTCCATGGTTGGAGAAACAGCTTTGCGGATGATACGGTCCGAATATCCATTCATCTTAAGGATCCGGTGTACATGTTCTAATTCACTGGCCAGGTGGTGTTGGTCAGAAATGCAGTGGGCCCTATGGTGTAGTGTTTTGATGAGGGAATTCTTCTGTGCCGGATGGTGGTGGGAATCAGGTTTCAGATAGGAATCTGTGTGGGTAGCTTTCCTGGAGACAGAATGTCCCAAAGAGCCATTAGGCCTCCTCTCAAACAGAGAGGAGGCCTAATGGCTCAAACAGAGAGGAGGCCTAATGGCTCTTTGGGACAAACATAGATAAAATAGACATAACTTCAACCGAGAAGATGGATTCAAATTGAGCAATCATTGGAAGGATGCTATTAACCAAGTTAAACATTAGCTGCCTTATAGTTTGTATTCATATCCGCATCTCCAGTATTTTACTCCCAGCCCTGCTCACTCCCATCACTTAGAAATTTGCCGTACAGTGTTTCGAGCCTGCAGAGCGCTCCCCCACCCCCCAACATGTCACAACTTTAGGTCGTGCTTTAGCTTTTAGGACCATCCTTGCCGTTCTCCTCCAGCCCACGCCCCGTCCCCACACTCACCCTGGCTCCTCCCCCCCCCTCAGCTAAATAATCCCTTGTCACAGTCATCTCTTTGGCATACTTCAGCGATTGTTTTCGCTGTGGTTGTCCCCACCTGATGATGGACCGAAACGTCGTGTTTTGTTTTATTTTATTTTCTCTACCTAAGTGACTTTACCGAAAGAACCAAGAGTATGGATCCTTGAAGTCACGAAAACTTCAAGTCTAGAATAGCCACCTCCGCACGCTCGTCGTGGAGGTCGCCCTCCGATCTGACATTAACATGCTTATTTCTCACATTAACATCAACAGCCCCACCCACTTCGTGTATGACCCTTGGGCTACACCCATTTCAAAATCTTTAGAACAGTCTGCCTCAGCAGCTTTCCTCTCTTTTTTCAGCCTGATGATGACCGCTTGCGTTGCGATTGAAACGTCGTAGTTTTTGGTTATTTTCTTTGAACCTATCTACGTGACTTTACCGAAAGACCCAAAGAATATGGAATTGCTATTCTCACTGTCTATCATGATAAAATAGTTAGAGGCTTAAACAATCTAGTGCTGGATGACGAACTTCCCATGCTGTACCAGCAATGTGGATTTCATTTTACAATACTTCTCCATTCTGGTCAGCGTGTGTGTAGAGGGGGTTGGGTGGTGGTGGCCAGAACGAGTTTATATTTGCGCCATGATGACCAGATGTTAACTACCTCGCCTGGTATACAGGAGGTCGTGGGTTCGGTCCCGACCCTGACGCCTGCTGTATTTATAGTCTGCGTCTCTCTTTCCCTGTGGTCGTGTGGATTTTTCTCCGGGTCCTCCGGTTTTTAACTCTCCACATTGAGAATCAACATCATGTGTTTAGAGTATTTGGTTGCTGCTAAAATTTTTCCACATAAGCCACTTTGTTGAGCTATCATTTGTGATCAAGTCACTTCTGAAAAAGAGCTACATAGCTCAGTGGGGGGGTCTGACCTGGTAAAAAAATATTTCTAGATTTGAAGCTTTCGTGACTGCAATGATTCATATTCTTAGGTTTTTTTCGGTAAAGTCACGTAGGTAATAAAAAACCTAAGAATACAAAAATATTTACTTATTTCAGTTTTTATTATTTAATTTGTATCACTCACCGCCGATATTATTCGTAGCTGGGAATCAAACTCAGGTCACCAGGTTCACAGTGCAGTAGTGTGCTAACCACTGACCGTGCGGCCATTTATACACATATGTTCACAGTCATTCAACAAACTCACCAGTATGCGAGCGCGAGTGTTTTTTTAACTCCCCCGAGGAGCAAAAACATTTCCCGCAGGTGTTACATATGTAGGGCTTTTCACCTACGCAGGGGTAACAGGATATTGTTTACACTGCATTGGTTAAACAACCACTTGTAAACTCGTACAGTACAACAAAATAAACTCCCACATTCAAATGAGCTGGACAGGACATTGCTGGACCTTCACCAATGTTCCAAGCCAGTGGTGGAAATTCCACATTCCCTTGACAAGGGCCAGTATCTCCACTTACATGTTACAAAGTGGTCCTCGTTTTAATTGGCCCGGATTATTGCTAAAACCATTTTTTAAAAGATTAATATTTTTTACAACAAAAGTAAATACATATAAATGTTGAAAAAGACAATGACAATATTCAGCTAAACCGGAAGCTGATTAAATCACGAAGACAAAGGAAACTGGATATAAAACTAGGGTTTTTGCTTCCTCATTCAAACTGTGCCGTTGGTCTCTTCTCATGACATCAAGATACGTCTCCATATGGGGCTCTCACATTCAGCACCACCCGAATTGAAGAATGCCACCCTGCCCCCAAAGGAGAACATTACGTAACTTCTTATCCATACGAGGGGAACCAATCTTTGCAGACCTAGGGAACAGTGCTCGTTGGCGTGTCAAAACCAACATTCTACAGAGAACATGAAAAATAAAATGATTCTGAAAATATACGTACAGTAGAACCCCTCTTAATGACCACCCCTGTTAATGACTAATCGGTTAACGACGGGCCTCCATAGAGCCCAATGTGTAGTGTATAGTGTAGTGTAGAGTAGTGTATAGTGTAGTGTATAGTAGTGTACTGCCTCCATAGAGCCCAATTTGTTCGCTTACCGACCATTCCCCAGTTAACGACAGGCTGTTGTACGTACAGTAAATATTAATGCGTGTATTTATTAAGCATGTTTATTTAAATATTGTGTGTTTACAATGTTGTTGGTATCTTTATGTGTTAATATCCATTGTTTCAATATTAGAACGTAAGTTGTTTGGGTGAAAAAGGGTAACTTTCGATGTTGTCGGAACAAATTAATCCTTTAACGTGTACTTCCTATACTCGCTTAACGACCAAATCACTTGATGACTCCTTTCGTGGAGCCAATTACCGGCGTTAAGAGGGGTTCTACCGTATATTACTTCATCAAATCGTGTTCTCAAATCGTCTTGGCCCAGTCAGAGATTTGGACTGAGACCAACTCCTCAAAACAATCAAGAACCCGGCTTAACCACTTTCCCGTTCCGAGACGTCTGTAAGTCACAGTGTGTGGCGGTGTCCCATTCACCGCTGAACCACTGAACGCGCGACCGGTAATTTTTTATTTAGCGAGGCGTAGTAGTGCCGCTGTTTTTAAAGACGTTGTTACTCACTGCAGAGAACCGTAGCAACACGACTGCCGCACTCTACGATAATCGCCGCCAAAACTGTACCGCACACCCTCCCGCATGGCCTTGTGGAAGCCTCGGTACCGATTAAGTTATTTTATTAAAATGTTTTATTCCGGTTTCGTTTTGATGATGTACACATACGCACGTCATAGGTTACGGAATCGGAAGAAAAACTGATGACGTACACGTACGCCTGTACGGGAAGACAGGCTGGCCGGGTCGTTCCTGCCGTCGTCCCCTTCTAAGAGGCAGAAGAAAAAGAGGAAGAAGGAGGAGAAGGTGAAGAGAAAGAGGAAGAAGTTGAAGAAGAAGTTGAAGAGAAAGTTAACAGGAAGAAGGCGACGCACCGGTGTGCTTGCGCGCGTGCGTGATGAGCGAGCTGGACACGGCGAAGGTCCTGCCGCACACGTTGCACACGTAGGGGCGCTCGCCCGTGTGCCGGCGCACGTGGTAGGTGAGCGTGCTCGCCTGAGCGAACCGCTGCCCGCACGTGTCGCACATGTACGGCTTCTCTCCGCTGTGTTTCCTGCTGGCAGGGGAACGAGATGGCCCCTTAAAAGTTGTTTGCTTTTACGAAACGGCGCTTTTCATTGCATACATTTAATCATCGTATTTTGCATTTATCGTTATCATGTATGTACGTATGTATGTATGTTGAACTTTCGCACCGTCCGTCGTCAACCACGCTAATCGTGCGGGGGAAGGACAATAAACTAAACACAAAAAGCAGTTTAAAAGAAACGAGTTTTTCAATCTAGATGATTTAAGCGTGCATAGCTCCAGTGTCTTCCAAATATCTTCACGATTCATAGGCACACAACCCCGTAGGTGTCCCCTGCACATTTCGTCTTGTAGTGGCAGTATGCTCAAGTGGTGCCACATCTTTCTGGCAAAAACCTCTCTGATGTCGCCGTTAATCCATTCTCTATTTGGTCTTCCCCTCTTCCGGTTAATTTAAGACTTTAATTTTACATTGCGTCATTCATGGCAAAAGTATCCTACACCGCTGTACATTAATTATATATAAGGACTGAATCCCGTACACATGGTTGGCTACGTACGGCGCGAAAGAAGCCCAACGCACACTCACACCGAGCAAATGAAAACCCCCTACTACTACTACCAAGCAAAATCAAGAAGGGAATACACAAATTAAGAAATGGCACTGAAACAGAAAGCACTAACAAACAACAAAAAGGTTATTAGAATCAAACCCCAAAAAATCAGTCGTCCATTACGGCGCTTAAATGCCTCAGCATTTCAAAACACCTCGCATCACGTCTCGAACATTAGAAGGACAACCCTGGTCGCTGCTGTCCCTGTGCGGAAAAAGGGGACTTTTCCACCGGCTTGTGAGCAGGCTTTAGTTTTCCAGGCGTGGTGCTGGGGAAAGGGGAGGATGATTGCCGCAATTCAGAAATTTTCGGGGCGACATTTTTGGGAATTTGGCAAGTTTGGACGATGGCACCAGCGACACAATGGCCTACTCGTATCCAACGACGGTCACGGGTCCTTTGACGTGCGGTGAACCAGTGGTTATCAACGATTAGATGAACTGTCGGATATGGCTATTGTTCACAATTGCACCCAAGAAAAAAATAAAAACATATTAGTAAAAAAAAAATTAAACAAAAATTTATATAAATAATAATAAAAAATAAAAACCTCCATTGCGAAGCAAGCGGGGCCAGTGCATCGTGTGCATGATTTACCCGCAGCGTTAACCAGGGTGGCCTGCTGGAAATGAAACGTGAATCTCTGCAGCGAACGGCGAATGCGCCGCTCCTGCTGTTTGAGTGCCCGCTGACACACTATTTTACATGCTTTTATTTAACTCACTCTGTCTGTTGTTGTCGTTGTCGTATCCTCAAATCTTGTAACTCAATTTTAACCCACTTCCCAATGCGGTATCGACTGCAAACTTGGTATACTTATGTCATACTGATGACAAAACTATATTTTATAAAAAATAAAAAAGTATTTTTAAACATTCATTTTTATATGTTATGTTTCGGCTTGGGTCTAATTTTCCATGCTCAACTGATGTTAGCTGTAAATCACCACGGTCCCTTACGTTATGGCAAGCTTTGCGGCCACTTCCTGGAGTCGTGGAGTTCTGCCATTACGAGTACAGTACATTTATTAAAGCGTGTTTTTTGTAAAGTATTTTTAAATATTACTTATTTCAATGTCAAGACGCTTCTCATTAGATGCCATTTAATCAATGGAATACATATAGCTTGGGAGTATCAAGGTAAAAAAAATGTTGCAATCAACGCTTTGAAATACTGTACAAATATTAAATATTAACTTTTTATATCAAATGTACTACGACGCAGAGGCGCGCACACGAAGGGGACGAGCATCTCTTTAAAATATTCACGCGGCCCAGTTCATGCATCCCTGGTGCCGTTTGACAGGCCGGTAGTGGTGGTGGTGACGGCTTAGACCATTGCCTTGTACAGGACAGGCGAGGTTGTTAACATCTCGACCACAGTGCCGACATGTTAACTTCCTCACCTGGTATACAGAAGGTCGTGAGCTCGATTCCGACCCTGACGCCTGCTGCATATTTTAAGTATTCATGTTTCTCTCCCCGTGGTCGTGTGGATTTTTCTCCGGGTCCTCAGGTTTTTCCCTTCACATTTAGAAACATGTGTTTATCGTATTTGGCTGCAATACATTTCCACGTGAATAGCCACTTCGTTGCGCTATCATTTGTAATAGCCAGGTCGCTTCTGAAATAGAGCTATATTGCAGCAGCAATGAGGGAAATCTGCAGAACTCTGGAGAAAACTTGCGCTTAACGGAACATAAACTCCATGCAAATAGACGCCCGAGTCAGGAATCAAACCCATGCCCTTCTTGCTGTAAGGTGCAAAGTGTTACCACAACGCCAACCCTGTTGCCCCAAAGGTGTTCATGTAACACTCACGTCAACGGGATATTCTACAGAACCAGAGTAATGCCAAGTGTTGAATAACGCGGAACGGAACTGCGTGACCGTAGTGAGCGAACATGCGAGCTCTGATCTGTCCGTCTAAATATAAACTTGTCATTCATCCCGCCACAACTGTGTTATCACCTGTGTTGTTATCAACTTGTGATCACCGTTGTTATCACCTGTGTTATCACCTGTGTTGTTACCAACTTGTGATCACCGTTGTTATCACCTGTGCGCCGTTGACATCAAACAACCTGCATCTTCCGAGGAATCATCCTCCTGAATTCCTCAATATCACCACTTCTATCATCATAAAAGCATCAAAGGTAATAAAAAAAACACATCGCTGTTAATTATTTATTTTAAGTGATTGTTATTAATTATTTACAATTTCCCCCCCATGTTCACTCGAACCAGGAACCGTAACTCCATTTTTCCCCAGTGGAACAAGGTTTTCTTCATTCGTGAATTCTGCATTCGCGAGCGTATTCACGAGCGTAACCCTTGCAGATAGAGATGGTTTAATGTACTTACATAATTAAAGAGGGCATGGTTGCAGCCGAGTCACTGAGTACCGTTTAGCACATTTATCACATCTTAAAAAACAATATTTATTTATTATTATTATTCCCAGGGTAAGGCCCACTGAGCTATGTAGCTCTTTTTTCAGAAGCGACCTGGCCACAAATGATCGCTCAACGAAAGTGGCTTATCACGTGGAAATCTACAGCAGCGCGTATCTAAATATGGAGGTAAAAACCGGAGGACGCGGAGACCGGAGGATTCGACGACAGGGAGAGAGACACCGTGGACACCGTGATCTCCGAATATACAGCAGGCGTCAGGAGCGACATCTAACCCACGACCTCCTGCATACCAGGCGAGGGAGATAACATCTCCTCGCCACCACGTCGGTGAGTGCTGCAATTATCATGACCCGCGATACATACCTCACGTGAATCTTCAGGTTGCTGGATGTGGCGAAGCGCAGCCCGCAGACGTCGCAGCCGTACGGCTTCTCGTCCCCGTGGTGCATGCGGGTGTGAAACACCAATTGACACTTCTGTGCGAACGCCTTTCCGCACACTTCACACACGTAGGGCTTTTCACCTGCGCGCGTGCAACACACCAAGGCGTGGACCGTTTTTGCATGACATTTACGAAATGAAAGTCGCCTTGTTCAATGCGACAGCTGCTGTGTCGGTGGAGAGCATTTTTAAAATGCAAATGTGTACAATGAGCTCTGCTATCCCAGGTGACGTTTTGGGGATGTGAGAGAATATAGGAGGGGGGTCGACTTTTTTGAAATTCAAGAAACGGAGCAGGAGTCCTGAAGACTTGATTTGAAGCTTTCGTGACTGCAGGAATTACTCTTTGGTTCTTTCGGTAAAGTCACGTAGAAATAAAATAAAATAAATAATAGAATACGACGTTTGATTGCAACACAAGCAACCGTCATCAGGTGTGAATGCAAGCTCGGAGAGAGACAAATATACAGAGAGAGAGACAAACACAGACACGGAGAGACACACACACAGACATGCTAATTTCTCTGCCCCAACCCCCCCCCTCTCTCTCTATTACCCTGTCACAGAGGCATTGTTTCTCTATCTCTGCGTGCGTGTCTCTCTCTCTGTGTTTGTCTCTCTCTCTCTGTGTCTCTCGCGTTTAATTCTGAGGGTTGTGCAGGCTTTGTTGCCATCATTATTGACTCGGTAATTTTCTGACCGCAGCTCGAGTGAGTGAGTTGTGATAGGTATGCGGGTGCGGGCGATGTGCGTGTTTTTAAAAATGGTGTAAGTGGCGCATTTTCAGTGGAATGTGTATGCAAATGCTGTGCTAGTGGAGTTAGAAAGTGACGTGTATATGTGTAAGTTCTGTGTGCATGCGCGTGCGTGTGTGTGTACGTCGTGAGGAGCGGTAGTGCAGCTGTTAGCGCGCTGCGCTACGAAACTGGCGACCCCAGTTCGATTCCGGCTCACGGCAAACACCAGTGAGGATTATCTTAACGGTCCTGGGCCTCCCCTAGGTCGACTCAGCCTTAAATGAGTGCCTGGTGCGGTGTGTGTAGTGACCATCACCACTGGGCGGCCGTGTGTGGTGCTGGCCACCCATCCCCTCATGTGCCATGCCGGCCTTGATAGGTGCTCGCTAACAGCACTTGCTCCGACAATCTGTTCAGGCTATGTGGGGGAATATTTGTCTTTATGTACGTCGTGTAAGCGAGTGGTGTGCGTAGACCATGTCTTTGTACTACCTTCATCATCTCACGCCTCGTGGGTCAAGTTACGTGACCAATGGTGGAGCCAGGATATTCAGGTAGGGGGGGAAACCCCTCCAGCAATGAAAAATGATAGAGGAGTTGTTAGTAAGTAAGGACTTATCCCTTGCTTTTTATTTGACGCGTGTGCGGCGATGGCGCAGCCATCGATCAAGGGTCGAATTCGAACCGTGTGTGATCGGCATCGCACTCACTGAAGGTGAATGCCTTCAGGGAAGTCGTATACTGTATACGCAACTGCGCACAATTCTGTGAGTCACTTATAACTGCTTTGCCGTTATTTATTGCCAATTATGGACTCAGACTATTGTCCTATCATCTCATAGAGTCCCAGGCACATAATAATACTGTAAGCTACACGGTAGCAGTGGGGGTCGCAAAATACCGATTTATTACTAATAAACACCAATGATCCGACCGAAATTAGGGATTTCGATCGGATCATTGGGGGGGAACGTGCCACCCCACCCCCCCCCCAACTGGCTCCGCCAGTGTACGTGACCATACTTCACCACGCTGGTCAGTGCGGCTCTGTGAAGGACCATAGACGTACAGTGCAACAATGGCTTTTGCCGCGACATTTTTTCATAAAACTGCGGTACTGCAGGTGCCCTCAAATGCACTCAGTGCCCAAGCCAGGGAGAACAACACTGCAACGTCATAGGTATTAAACATTTACCATTTCCCCCCCCCCCCCCAACTCGTACCAGGAACGGAACCCCAGTTTTCGCGTTGAACAAGGTTTCTGCATTAGCGAATTCTGCATTTGCGGGCATTTTCACGAATGTAAGTCCCCGTGGATAGTGGGGAGGGTTTACCATACTCAATTTAAAGAGGGCATGATTTCAGCCGAGTCGTTCATTAAAGTCTGTTCTAAAACGCTAATTGGACATATCGCTGCCTCTGCAGACAGCTTCGCCCTCAAAATGTGAAAAGCTGCGCCGCTGCAGGTGCCCCCAAATGCACTCAGTGCCCAGACCAAAACTTTGGAGAACAACACAGCAACGTCAAGCGTCAACAGTGAAAGTAAAACCTTTCTTTTCTGATATCCGACACAGACGAATGTATTGAGAGCCTGCCAAAAAAAACAAACAACCGTGGTGGTGCTGGTGGTATCATAACGGCGGTTTCTTCCTCGTCCCACATTTACATGCCCTAATTTTTTTTTTAAGACTTTTCACACGACCGTTCTCCGGCTCGAAGGAACGGGGCCGAGTGGAGTAAAACGCTGCGCTGCCGGGGTGAAATCGTTCAGTACACCCAATGCAAAGGGGAGGGGGGGGGAGAGGCCAGCTCGCACCTGTGTGTATCCGCATGTGGGTCTTGAGCTGGTTGCCCTGCGTGAACGCCTTGTCACACAGCGAGCAAACGAATGGCCGCAGGCCCTTGTGGATGCGCGCGTGGCGCCGCAGGCTGCTCGGCTCCGAGAACTCTTTACCGCATGTTTGGCATATGGGCTTTCTCCTGGAAAGGCGCACGCTGGCCGGGTCGTTCCCACCGTCATCTCTTTCCAAGCCCGTAGGCGTCCACGTGTCCGGCCAGCCGCCCGGCGCGTTTTCGTGCCGGCCGGCCTCCTTGCTGGCCTCCTCGCTGGCCTCCTCGCTGGCCCCCGGGGGAATCTGCTCGGGTGCCTTGCCGTTGCTTGCGCAGCTGCTTCCGGTCATCTCGGAGGTGGCGTGTTCGGCGTCCGAAGGTTGGGTCGGAAAGCCGGCATCCCTGAAGAAAAGAAAAAAAAGAAAATTCGCATGTGGTTAAAAGATAAGTAGAAGTAACCGCAATACATTTCTACGGCTTTTGTTTTTTTCACACAGCCGCCGAACTCGTAGGCACAAAAATGTCAAGCGGCCCGGCAAAAAACAGCGCTATCAAGGTTGGAAAAGATAACGAGTCAACAAGTTTCCTGAAGTGCGTGAGATTATAAGAGCTTGGGGAAAAGACACAATGGGAGGGAATTCCAAAGTGGAGTGGTGTGAGGCCAGAAGCAGAGAGAGATGAACGTCGTGACCTGTGGTGTAGTGCTTGAAGTGTGGATGTGATGAGAAACCATCTGGTAGACCAAGACGCTTGAAAGGAAGGTAATGTTATAGCGACAGAAAACAAGCTATATTCCGAAATATGCATTTTCACTTGAAGAATGGCTCTCCATTCATTGTCGACGGTAGAGAGGCGGTAACGTATGCCCGTGCGCGCGGCATTGTCGAAAAAAACAGATTTTTTTTGACAGAATGAATTAAAAGCGGTGTGTAATTTTTTTTTTTTAACAGCACCCACATCCAGCTCTCCTTTTCACCGACGTGCCCCGTGGGGGCCCTTGCGGAGGCCGGGGTGCTGTTTGTGCAGCAGCGCCCGGCGGCCTCCCCCGCTGGTACGCTCCTCTCCACCGCTGCCGCCGACACTGCCACCTTGGGAGCAGCCACACGCCGGATTTTCTTGCGCGCTGCCTTTCTGTCGGAAGCCACCGTGGGGCCCCTTTTGCCACCGCTTTTTGCACAGCGTGGCCTCTCGTACCGCCCTTCCGAACTCCCGTCCGATGACCGATCGGATACGCTCGAAACGTCCCGTTCCGCCTCGGCACCGTTCCCTGGCCACAATTCCGACGTCGTCGTCTCCAATCTTTGCGCCCGCCTCCTGCGGTTCGCGACGTTGGCCCGGTTGCGTCTGCGGAAGCTGGGTCGCTGGCCTGGAGACGACCAGCACAGATCGGTCTGCTTCACTGGCAGGCGTTGTTTACGCTGGTTTTTACGCGCCTCTCTCTGTCCCGACGCCGAACTGTTCCCGCCATCACTCAATGTCGTGTCTCCTGCTCCATCCACGCTTCTGCATTCTGCTTCTGATGTCTGCTTCGATTCCCTTTCATCTACTGCTGCCACGCTTTGAACATCACCCACATGACAAGTCAGAGGCGCGGGTGCTGAATCATTTACCATAGCACCTTTTACGACATCCGTTACGCTGCCGTTGCTGTTACGAATCCCATCGTGCTCAAACTCTTTGAAGCTGTTCTCCACCAGTCTCCCGGTTTCACCGGTGCTCTGCGCCGGGGTATCGGAGTGCTGCTCATCTTCCAGTTCATCCGAAGATAATGGTGGTGATGAGTGGCACGGCGACAGAGAGGACACCGGAGTAACGGCTTTAGAAGCAGCGTCTTCTGCCGATGCCGCCACAGGGCTCAGACCCTGCTCCGCGCTTTGGCGAAGCAGAAGCTCCTCCAGCGCGTCCGAGCGCGGCCGGCTTGGCACGGCGAATCCACGCCTTCGCGAAGACGACAACGCCGACGCCACCGGTACCCACGCACCATTGCTGGACGTAACCGTCGTCGCTGCTGCCTCCGGGTGGGAGGGGCTGGGTACATTCTGCTTGCACGTGGGAATCTGTCCGTCCATCCCTTGCGTGCGCAGGAGCGTCGTGAGAGCTTCCACCTGCATATGAAGCGCCGCGGACTTCAGCTCCTCGGCACTGCACCTACACAATGAGAGAGATGGGAAGACCGTTCACGTGGTCTCTACGCATCAGGGGTTTCTTATTCAACTATAAAAATAAATATAGCTGCTAGTTTACATCGATTCAAACCTTACATCAAATCGTATGTCAGATATCGTTCACCACCGATGTTAACCAGAGCCTGAGCTTTAACTCAGGTTGTCTGTCGGGTTTAGGGTTCAGTGCACTAACCGCTGCACCACCGCTCCCCCCAATGATGTTGGTGTCTCACTCTTGGTGCTATTAGGCTACAGGGTACCAGTGTTCACCAGGGGCCGAATAATATCCCATGCGTATGCACGTAAAAGACGTGTAACAAAAGGTAAGATTGGAAAAAGTTTTAAACATAAAGATCACTTCAAAAGAAAACAATATGAAACATTACATGCTCAACAATAAACTAAAAATCATGAAGGAAATAAATCGAAATAGTAACACTCAGCATTAAATAACAAGTGGGAAGGTAATTAAAAGCAAGATAAAGTATAAAAAAATAAGAATAGGTTTACCCTTTCTGGCAATATTACAGGTGTTAAGATGTTCAAGTAGAAACCTTTTTCAAGGAATCATATCTACATTAACCACACATACTCATGGTGAACATGCAAACCAGAGAACGCCAAAAAACGCCAAAATGCGTTCTCTGGTCTGACACTGGTGAGACTAGGCCCGAAAGAAGGATTCTCTGATGGAGACCAATCAGTTTCAAAGACAATGCATATATTATCAGAGCATGTTGTTTGCATGTTTCACCACAAGTGCCGTGTGTGGTTAATGCAGACTTGATTCCTTACAAAATGTTTCTATTTGGTGTTTGAACATCTTAACATTTGTTTTATTGGCAGAAAGGGTAAAATCTATTCTTATTTTTTCAAACTTTGATACTGGCTAAAAAGATCCCATTTTTTAAAAATATGGATGTATAGTGACTTTAAAAAGTTTACGAGAGCCCTTCCCCTAAAAGAGGCACCCCCCCAAGATGTGACATCCAACACACAGCCTTTTGCATCAACCACTCACATTTGTTACGATGAACCGAGCCAGAATTTACAAAGCGCAAACTGTGTAAGATCAACATGGCACAATGGCCGATGACGTTGTGGATAACAATGTTGATGCCACATCATCTAATCATAGCCACGTGTCCCGAATTTGTTTAACTCTATATCCAAAACCAACAAGAGATGAGAATAGGGTTTTCCCCTTTTATCTGGCAACAATACAGGTGTCAAGTTGTTAAAACACCAAACGGATGTCTGCATTAACCACAATACTTGTGGCCAAAAAGCAAAAAAAAAATACTCTGATAATATATGCATTGTCTTTGAAACTGTTTGGTCCACATCAGAGACAGCTTTCTTTTGAGCCTCGTCTCAAACGGTGTTAGACCAGAGGACGCCAAAAGGCGTACAGCACAAAGACAATGCACTATCAGAGTAATGAGAGCTCGGGGTGAGCATCTACATCATGGGACCTCCTTTATCTGGCAACAAAAATAAACAAACTAACAAGCTTAAAAAAAATGCAACCGTCATTATTTTCTATAAACATATTTCCCAAAAAGAACATTTTAGAGAGAAAAATAAACAGTAAAAAAATGTAATACTCTTTGGGTCTTTCAGTAAAGTCACGAAGATTGAAAAATAAAAATCACGACGTTTCAATCGCAACACAAGCAATCGTCTTCGGGTGACTCCAGTGGCCCGGGTGCTGCTGCGGGGTCCACTTTCTGCCCTGCTTCCTCCCCCCCCCCTTCTCTCTCCCCCCTGCAGCCGACCTCTCCAGTGCTGCCGCGGTGGCCCACTTTACCCGGGTGCTGCTGCGGGGTCTACTTTCTGCCCCGCCTCCTCCTCCCCCCTTCTCTCTCCCCCCCTACTGCCGAGGTCTATATAAACTCGTGCCACGGCAGATCTCTCGCCTATTTCAGCAGTTTTTTCTTGCTGTGGTTGTCCCACCTGATGACGATTGCTTCTGTTGCGATCGAAACGTCGTCATCTATTATTTTTCTACCTACGTGACTTTACCGAAAGAACCAAAGAGTATGGATGCCTGCAGTAAGGAAAGCTTCAAGTCAAGATTGAAAAAAATGCAGCAGGCGAACTGCTGAGGCAGGAGAAATATAGCGGGAGACCTGCTGCAGCAAGAGGTTATATAGGCCTCGGCAGTAGGGGGGGAGAGAGAAGGGGGGTGGGAAGGAGGCGGGGCAGAAAGTAACAGGCTAAATGTCTCACTAACATAGCCGCTGCTCCTTTTTCCTCCATGTGGCGGTGGTTCTCGATGTTTAATAGGCTGAATGTCTCACTGGCATGGCCACCGTTGCGGTGGTTCTCTTGCGTTGACATGCTGGTCTCTCAGTGCAGCGGCCAACGCCGCAGCTTTTGTTGCCCACGAGGTGGCGTTGTGTCCGGTTCTCTGACACTGACATGCCAATCTTCTAATTAACATAGCTGCTGCTGCGGGAGCCATCTCACATTGACATGCTAATCTCTAATCTCTAGCAATGCAATAGCCCCCTCTTCAGCACCGTAGTAGTGGGGTATATCAGGCTCTCCGATCTTACATTTACATGCAAATTACACTCTTTGGTTCTTTCGGTAAAGTCACGTCGAAAGAAAATAAATTAAATAATAATAGAATACGACGTTTCGATCGCAACACAAGCAACCATCATTGGGTAAGAATGAATGTGAAAAAAAACATAGTAAACTTAGAAATATAATGCAATACAACACAGAGAGTCGGCTATCACAACAGTCAACACCCTACCTGGTTGATTACGTTCTTCCAAAGATTGCTAAATTTGAGAGAGAGACAAAACACAGACACGGAGACACATGGACAGACACACAAGCAGAGAGAGACACACACATAGACAAACAGAAAGAAAATGCCTATGTGTCAAGGCCTTAAATAGAGCGAGAGTGGAGGGGATTGGGGTAGAGAACAATGAGAGTTGTGTGGAAACGTCATGATTTTTCTATCTATGTGACTTGACCGAAAGTAGTCACGAAAGCTTTAAGTGAAAAAATGTAATCTTAAAAAAATCCAATGTGTCACACACTGGTTCCGCGGTGCAAAGTGGAGGGAGTTGCGACCCTGCATCGCATCCACGTTCACTCCACGGTGGGAAATAATGACAACGGCCGCACCTGCCGGGAACATAAAAACGACCCTGATGCCCGCTAGAAAATTGAAGTGATGAGATATAAGCTTACGTGCTGGATTGAGATAGGTTCTCACCACCCATGCCATGGTAACGGTAGCTAGAAGATATTAACTACCTCGCCTGGCATACAGGAGGTCGTGGGTTCCATCCCGACACTGAAGCCTGTTTATTTGGAGTTTGCATGTCTCTCTCTCCCCGTGGTTGCGTGAATTTTTCTCCGGATCCTCGGTTATTCCCTCCATATTTAGAATCAACATGCGTTTAGAGTATTTGGCTGCTGTAAATTTCCACATAAGTTACTTTTGTTGAGCTATCATTTGTGTGTGGCTAGGTCGCTTCTGAAAAATATCTTTATAGCTCAGTGGGGCCTTTAAAACATAGTTTATACTTACATTGGTTTTTTGATAATTGAGAGCTAATTGACCTCGACAGTGGATTTTTTCCGTTGCACTGAGTGCCGTGCAACACTTGTTCACATGGGAGAATGTCATACCCATCGGTTGTGATGTCACGAGTTTGACCTCGTGTTCCCCCACCTGAAACGCTGCAATAATGGCTAGACGGAGTCACCCAATATCACGAAGTAAATGCTAGTATTGAACTCTGGCCCTAAATATGTTTTTCTCGGTCAGGTAATTAAAAAAAAGTTTCAATCTACTCATCACAATGGTACAAACCGTGCGAAAATGTATACATGCAATTAGCCATACTGAGCTGCACATGATTGAATGTTTACATTCACAAATATCCCCCTGTTATCGACTAAAATCCTAGATTGTTGGATCAGATAAAAAAAACATAAATCAGGAAGATGTCCACATAAGACATATACAAAGAGATGTTCAGCAAGAAAAAAACACACACGCACCTACACAAAGAATTCCGCTTGTACAAATACCCATAGCAATGTATATTGCCACTCACAAATTTAACTGCCATGTAGCCAGCACATTTTAATTAGAGCATGTGATATCTTCGATTATATTTACGATTATTTGCAAACTAAACAATGAATTAATATCGTAATATGGGTGTGGTTTTGTAATACTTTCAACACTGATTTCCGATTGTATTTATGACTCGTTCATAGAGCCTGTCTTTGCCAGGCAAACGTTTTCAATAAATATAATGAAGCTGATGTGATTTTTTTACAATTTGTATCTACGATCAGAAACGAACAACTCCAAAAATGTGTATTTTTCCAGAAAAAAACAAAAAAAAATTGTTGACGACTTGATTCAACTTCTATTTAAAGACGTACCCATCGGAAACCGCTCAATGTAAAGATTAAGTTGTTTTATTAGAACGAACATTTAATTGACGTAATGCTCTACGAGGGGAAGCTCCTATCTTTTACCGTTTTCTAATTATTCAGATTTGACCATCATGAAATGCATATTCATTCAATCAAAACCACTTGAATACAAAATATCTCAAAAACAATAAAAGATAGAACCCAATGGTTCTTGCATTAACTTTATTTGCTGTTTAACACTCTATGAAATGAAAACAACCCGGCAATGTTATATTTTGAACGGTTTCTGAATGACACGCACAAACATGTTTATGGGCACTTAAAATCGAGATATGGGGGGCTTAAAACGAAAAATCTCGGATTTTCAGATTTCTCCTGTTGTTTGTATCCTAAAAGCTACCTATGTACCATATTTCAGCTTTCTACCTTGTCGGGAAGTACCGAAGAGGTTTTTGGGACATACAGATTAGGGTCTTTATATAGAAGATTATATGCAACCTAAACAATGAATATCATATATATGTGTGTGTGTGGTTTTGTAACACTTTCCAACATTCTAGATTTGAAGTTTGCGTGACTGCAGGGATCCACACTCTTTGGTTCTTTCGGTAATGTCACGTAGGTAGAAAATATGAAATAAATTAAATCACGACGTTTTGGGCGCAACACAAGGCAGATCTGAAACATGGCAGGACTAATACCTCCGCTGTGGCCGACCATTGCTATAATGCTGTGGGCTCTCATGATATTGTTTTTTTCCGAGACCAAGGTGCTCTGCAAACCTTCGGGCTACCATCAAAGGTTTGTTCAGGAAGCCATCCAGATATATAAACATAGACAATGTCAACCGAAAAGATAGATACAAATTGAGAAATCATTGGAAGGATGTTATTAACCAGGTAAAACCTTAACTGCTTTATAGTTTGACTTCATATCCGCATCTCCAGTTTCTTAAGCCTCCTACCCCTCAGCCCCGCTCACTTCCCAGCCCCGGCATTTTGTTGTACCCGTGTTGGATCTTGCACTTCCCAGCCCCCGACATTGTGCTTTACTCGGTGTCAAGCAGACACTCCTCCCCCATTCCCCCTACCCCCACCCTATCTAGCTCTCCTCCCTGACTCCTCCCCCCCTCCTACTTATATATAACTTCTTGTTACCAGCAGTCTCCTCTTGCCCATTTCAGCAATTGTTTATTGCTGTGGTTGTTCCACCTGATGACGGGCACTTGTGTTGCGCCCGAAACGTCGTGATTTAATTATTTATATTTTATACCTACGTGACTTTACCGAAAGAACCAAAGAGTATACTTTCCAACACTCTGTGGTGTTTATTTCGCAATAATGGTGATGCTTGTGCCATGCATGCTGGAAGCAGTAGATCATCCTCCAAGCCATGATGAGACAACAGCATCTCTAATGAAGAGGGCACGGGCACCCATGTGATAAATTTGGCTGGTTTCTACAGGATAAATGCTCAAGAGCAACACAAATTTACTACTGGACATCTGTACAAAAAAAGCTTTATAACTCATCAGATTCCTCCAGTATAAATAAATATTCTGATTCCAATTACATATTAACTTGTTTTACAAGTTATTTTGCAAACCCCCATTACAGACCGAGCTAATTTGTTGAAAGCATTCAAAGGATGTTATCTATACATAGCATAAACAATACAGAGCGATGGTGAGTAATTATGAAATAATCACGTCCCTTACCCATTCAGCCTAACTTGTCCAGAATAGATGAAGTCCAAGACGGCAGCGATGGCGCAGGGGCTTATGATGTTATTGTTCAGAGTGACCACAGCGATGCCAGAGCCACTCTGTGATCCAGTCTTTGTTGCCATTGCTCTTCTCTGACCGCTCATCCCAGCGGTGTCCTCCATTCCGTTGGCCGCACCATTATCGAAGCGCGAATCTCCTGTCGACGTGGCGCTTTCTTGAGCCATAATAACACGACAGTTACCGTGCGTGTACGTATCTGCTATGTTGCTTCCTGAAGGAAAAGTGTCCTCCTTGGGCGTCTGTCCTCCCCCGTTGGGCGGCGTGTGTAGCTCAATGATCCGCGATGGGAGGCTGTCAGAGACACCGCAGCACAGCGCCGCCAGATGGGGACTGAAGGCAGCGAGAACAGCGCGGTGTGCTGGGAATGTGGTTCCCCCGGAAATTTCAAACATGCAGTCACATAAATCTCCGCGGGCACGCTGCGCACGGAGCTGTGCTAACAGTGACATCGCGTGTTCCTCCATCTCAGCCTGTGAGGTTGACAACAAAAAAACAAAAGAGTGGTCAATTATCATTACAATGAGCATCACTGTCAGCAGAAATGACAGTTACCTTGTGATTGTAATTCATTACAAAAATTACATAATTACAATTGAAATTGAACCCAGGTCTGCAGAAGATATATTCCACTGTCGGATAACTTTCAGCCGAAATATGAATATGCATATTCGAAAAGTTTTGCTGGATGGCTGGCTACTTGTTTGATGTCACCGCCCCCATCTGCGTGATGACGTCACTAACATCCCACAGCGTTCGGCCAAAGCTCCACTCTGGCCGTGTATCCCGTGCAAATGAGTGGGCCGTGCTAGTTTTGTAACAAATACTATATATACAGTATAAAGATACGAAATGTTTGCTGCTTAACATCTGGGAATAATCGTGGATCAAAAATCCAGAGCGGCTCAAGTGTTTACGATTAGGTGAAGGTTGAAAGCATTTCTTTCTCTTAAATAAATCTTATAACGTACATATGCAACCAGGAACAAATTATATTATCGTGAGCTGCAGAATACGTCGAAGTAACTATTCCTTGTCGCATGTTTATAAAATGATTTAAGGTGGTGGAAGGGTTTAAAAATGTACTGATATGTATGTTCACATAGGGGGTACGACGCATCATTAATAATTCTGTGCATTCCTAACGTCTATAATCTGGGTTAGCTACAGTATGCTCGGAGTACACACGTACGTTTAAGTGCATTTTATATATAGTTTACCTTTTGTCATAACTCTGTAATCTGGTTAATATGGAAAATCTTTACTTACAAGTTCACGCATACTTTGCCAATTGCCTTTACAGTCTGTTTTTACTCATAAAGGGGGAACTGAACCGTACATGTACACGTTCATATGAACAAAGCAAACAATGAGTAACATTTTCCTAACCATACGCTTAAATTACACTCAATCTGGGAAGATTTAAAAGGGCGCTTTTGTAGTGCGCAGTTGGGTTTTAATTTAAAAAAATGGGGTTTGGTTTACGAGGTTTAGATTTTGACTTCGGAGTCGTGAGTTACTAGGGTTGGAGTGGGGTTGTAAGCGAGAGTTTTGTGGCTTGGGGTCATTTAGGTGCACTGGTGGCATTCTGGTCCAGATAATTTAAATGGCCACATGTCATAGCTGTCAACCCATATGGTTTACTCCGTATTGTACAGGGAAATAGAGTTTGCAGGGCCATACAGCGTACAGCCGTTTCAATAGCGCAACTAAAAATGTATACGGCCAAATAAAAACAAAAGTTGTTTAACCATTCGTAATTTTCTGTGTTTATTTCTGTACATTTATAACATGAGTGTGTGCATCCACATATCAAGCAAGCAGCAACATAAGTAGTATTGACACCAATGATCAAAATGAATACATAAAACAGTTTTTGTTTAGTAACCCAAATGTTGTCTATTTGTTTGTGTTCTCCCTTGTGATGGAACTTTGTAGAATGAACGTTGATATTTATAGGGGCACGGGGTGACCAATAAGGTCTGAATTGATGTCATTAGGTTCAAGTTAATTTTTTTTTAGGTAGGACACTGATAAGGGGTTGACAGGTATGGAATGTGCAGGGAACACACACATAATTAAATGAACACACTGTAATCATTTTAAAAGTCACACACAACTTAATTGTATCACAATTCACGAGCAGTTTGTTTCTCGGTAGCTGAGGGTGTTGATACGGGTTTGAGGGGAGACATTGCTGCGATGAGTTCACTTGTGTTTAAGATCCTGAGTGTCGCGTGACTGCGATCAGCGGGGGTGAGAGGGGGAAGGGTGTTAGGATCAAGTGCGCTCCGTGTCGTGTGTTGTTTCAAAGCGTGACAATACGTGTAAGAGATGCAAACGGGAGTGTTGACAGCGGGGGTAGCGCAAGACTGCGGGGGTCGGAGCCTCTATCACTTTGCTTTATATATTCATACATATTCCTCATGTTTGTTCTATGGATTATCCAGATTGGTTCGGACGTCAAAGGGCACAAATTCCGTACACGCGCTTAACCGGTATATTGCAGTTTAAAGCACGAGGCCCGGCTCTCGACCGATGCGTGCCCCTCGCCTGAATCATCCCGCCGCCTCTGGCCCGCTTCTTCGGGCTGTGCGCGCCATGCGAGGGGCCAGGCTCGTGCCACGGCACAGGCCTCGGCCCGGAGTCACAACAACCACCACCACCACCGACACTGCGTCTAATCGCGAGCTTCCCACCGCCACCCACCGCGTTCCATACGAGTCTTGCACCTTGTGGGTTAAATGTTCTCCGCGGAGATGAGATCGCCCGTTCGGCACAGGCACCGAGGGATCGCAGCCGCCTCGGAGTTTATCCGCGGCAGACTCCGGCAGGCACTCAGCACCTCGCGCGGTGGACACCTCAGGGGGGGGGGGGGGGGGTCCTTGCTGTGAGATTGCGGAATCGATTCCAATTTCCGGATCGAGGGATTCGAATCGGACCTCGCGATCGATTCTCTCGCGCGTGCGCTGCTGCTGTTCGTGGTAACCGATCGCGATTCTAGCGGAATTTGAATCGTTATTTAGATTAATCCGATGAGCTATTAAGCTCTTTGTATTTTTTTTACAGACGTCCAGTAAGGGTCAGCAAGTTATAAAAAACAACGCAAAACACTGACGGGAGTGCAACGGTATAGAGAAGCTAAGCAAGTCACTAAAACGGACGAGTAAGTAATACAATTCCGGATATAATTACAACTTAAGCTTCAAATAAAGTACATTCCTGCTGATTTGTCAACACCAAATGCAAGCTTGGCACAAAGCAGCGGCGGCTGCACTGTGTCCAAGAGCTGTGGGTGCCAAAGTCGAGGTCTGGTGGACACGAGAGGGCTTCAGGAGTGGAGAGTTCGTGTCGTGTTTGCTGTCCCTCCATAGAAGGAGAGTAGCTGAGCGGTTTTACTGTAAAGGGTTCCACAGGTGGTCTTGTGACACCCAACTAATGGACACCCCGAACATTGTCTTTCCTTTGAATGTTCGGGTCTGTTTTAATGAAAGCTTACAGACAAAAATATGAAGTTTTTGAGAATTAAATGTGGGGGTCACAAGATATCCGGACCACACTGCAAGAAAATCACCACAACACCCACCACAACACCCACCACAACCACAACACCCACCACAGCCACAACACCCACCACAACCACAACACCCACCACAACCACAACACCCACCACAACCACAATACCCACCACAACCACAACACCCACCACAACCACAATACTTACCACAACCACAACACCCACCACAACCACAACACCCACCACAGCCACAAAACCCACCACAGCCACAAAACCCACTACAGCCACAACACCCACCACAACCACAACACCCACCACAACCACAATACTTACCACAACCACAACACCCACCACAACCACAACACCCATCACCACAACATCCACCACAACACCCACCACAACCACAACACCCACCACCACAACACCGACCACAACCACAACACCCACCACAACCACAATACCCACCACAACCACAACACCCATCACCACAACATCCACCACAACACCCACCACAACCACAACACCCACCACCACAACACCGACCACAACCACAACACCCACCACAGCCACAAAACCCACTACAGCCACCACAACACCAATCACAACCACCACCACGACTCTCACAACCACGACCACCACTCTCACAACCACCACCACAACTCTCACAACCACAACTCTCACAACCACCACCACGACGACTCTCACAACCACCACCACAACTCTCACAACCACAACTCTCACAACCACCACCACGACGACTCTCACAACCACCACCACCATCACGACTCTCACCGCCACCACCACAACTCTCACAACCACCACAACGACACTCACCACCACCACCACGAAGACTCTCACAACCACCACCACCACAACTCTCATAACAATCACCACGACACTCACAACCACCACCACCACGACGACTCTCACAACCACCACCACTCTCACAACCACCACCACTCTCACAACCACCACAACTCTCACAACAACCACAACTCTCACAACCACCACCACGACGACTCTCACAACCACCACCACAACTCTCATAACAATCACCACCACCACAACTCTCACAACAACCACAACTCTCACAACCACCACCACTCTCACAACCACCACTACCACCACAACTCTCACAACAACCACAACCCTCACAACCACCACCACCACTCTCACAACCACCACCACAACTCTCACAACAACCACAACTCTCACAACCACCACCACCACAACTCTCATAACAATCACCACGACTCTCACAACCACCACAACGACTCTCACAACCACCACCACGACACTCACAACCACCACCAAAAAGACGACTCTCACAACCACCACAACTTTCACAACCACCACCACGACTCTCACAACCACCACCACCACTCTCACAACCCCAAACTCTCACCACAACCACCACCACCACGACTCTCAAACCACCACCACAACCACCACTCTCACAACCCCAAACTCTCACCACAACCACCACCACCACGACTCTCAAACCACCACCACAACCCTCCTCCACCACCACCACCGCCAATCGCGTCTCACGCTCGCGGCTTCCGCGGCGTCGCCAGGCAACGCGAGTCAACACGGGGAGTGAGACCCACGCAACCCCGAGTCGCACGCAACGCCGAGTCGCACGCAAAGCCGAGTCGCACGCAACGCCGAGTCGCACGCAACGCCGAGTCGCACGCAACGCCGAGTCGCACGCAAAGCCGAGTCGCACGCAACCCCGAGTCGCACGCAACACCGAGTCGCACGCAAAGCCGAGTCGCACGCAACGCCGAGTCGCACGCAACGCCGAGTCGCACGCAAAGCCGAGTCGCACGCAACCCCGAGTCGCACGCAACACCGAGTCGCACGCAAAGCCGAGTCGCACGCAACGCCGAGTCGCACGCAACCCCGAGTCGCACGCAACACCGAGTCGCACGCAAAGCCGAGTCGCACGCAACCCCGAGTCGCACGCAACGCCGAGTCGCACGCAAAGCCGAGTCGCACGCAACGCCGAGTCGCACGCAACGCCGAGTCGCACGCAACACCGAGTCGCACGCAACCCCGAGTCGCACGCAACGCCGAGTCGCACGCAACGCCGAGTCGCACGCAACGCCGAGTCGCACGCAACACCGAGTCGCACGCAACCCCGAGTCGCACGCAACGCCGAGTCGCACGCAACGCCGAGTCGCACGCAACATCGAGCCTAATAAACACGGGCAGCGAGTTCCACGCAACGACGAGTCTTACGCGGAGCATGGAGGAGAAGGTGAGTCTCGCTGACAGTAGAGTTGCATGTTTTCTCTATGCGATATTAAATGTAAGTGAGTTGAACTTCTGTCGCACCGTACGTAGCCAACCGCACAAATCGGAGATGCGGGGGAAGTACAACAAACTACGTCTCTCTGTGTGAGTCTATGGGTTTCTGCTGTGCGAGTCTCTGTGTGAGTCTATGGGTCTCTGCTGTGCGAGTCTCTGTGTGAGTCTATGGGTCTCTGCTGTGCGAGTCTCTGTGTGAGTCTATGGGTCTCTGCTGTGCGAGTCTCTGTGTGAGTCTATGGGTCTCTGCTGTGCGAGTCTCTGTGTGAGTCTATGGGTCTCTGCTGTGCGAGTCTCTGTGTGAGTCTATGGGTCTCTGCTGTGCGAGTCTCTGTGTGAGTCTATGGGTCTCTGCTGTGTGCGTCTGTGTCTCTGTGTGAGTCTATGGGTCTCTGTTGTGCGAGTCTCTGTGTGAGTCTATGGGTCTCTGCTGTGCGAGTCTCTGTGTGAGTCTATGGGTCTCTGCTGTGTGCGTCTGTGTCTCTGTGTGGGTCTATGGGTCTCTGTGTGGGTCTTTGGGTCTCTGTGTGAGTCTGTGGGTCTCTGAGTCTATGGGTTTCTGCTGTGTGAGTATATGAGTCTCTGTGTGAGTCTGAGTCTCTGTGTGAGTCTATTAGTCTCTGATGTGTGTGCGTCTGTGTCTCTGTGTGAGTATATGGGTCTCTGTGTGAGTCTATGGGTCTCTGTGTGGGACTTTGTGTCTCTGTATGAGTCTATGTGTGAGTATATGAGTCTATGTGGGAGTCTATGTGTCTCTGTGGGTCTCTGTGTGAGTATATGTGTCTGTGTGAGTCTATGGGTCTTTGTGTGAGTCTATGGGTTTCTGTGTGAGTCTATGGGTCTCTGTGTGAGTCTATGGGTCTCTGTGTGAGTATATGGTTCTCTGTGTGAGTGGTCTATGAGCCTGTGTGAGTTTAGAGTATTTGGCTGCTATACATTTGCACATAAGCCACTTCGTTGAGCTATGATTTGTGATTGCCAGGCCGCTTCTGAAAAAGAGCTCTATAGCTCAGTGGACCTTACCTGGTAACATAACACATTGTTTAGTTCAGTAATAGCTGCACTTGATTTCTGGGTGAGACCACTTAGTGATCTGACCAAATTTGTGTCGTTATGACCCTCCACTACTCGACACTGCCAAACACATTGTCACGTACGCAAGCGTTACACACGTACATTTTTTTTATTGTTTCAGCTCAGCGGTAAGTTGAGGAAAAATCAAGTAATTCCAAGTGCGGCATTTCACTGGAAACCGCATTAAACATCATCGGTCAGAATAACAATCCGGGAAGTGAGAACGCCTGCTCGTTGGCATCGCTGTATAACGAGTCGTGTGGACTATGCGTGTGCTCGCCAACACCACTTGCCCCAACAGGCTATTGACTTTACACGGGGGATCTTTGTCTTTGTGTGTCTGTGGAGCGGTTGTGGGGAGCGGTGGTGCAGCGGTTACAAACATGGAAACTCGGGTTCGTTTTTCGCTCACGGCCAACACCAGTGATGATTATCTGAACTGGTCCTGGGCAGGGGCGGTTTCTTCATTAGGGCGATTGGGCGACGCACCACCAATGTCATTCAACCACAGAGTCACGCTAGCCGTCACTGTCAGCCTCTGGATATAGTCCAATCAGCGTCATGTCACGTTCTGTGGAGTACCGCCTCTTTTGGGGCGATTTCACTCCGGCTGAGAATCGCCCCGAGTGGCCCCATAGACTTACATTCAAAGATGTTTTTTTTCGAACGGGGGCGCTCCAATGCATTCTCTATGGCTCCGGGAGGGCAAGCCCTAACGTGCTTACGTCATCATACGTGCTTACGTCATCATACGTAAGCACGTTTTATCCAACAATATAATTTATCGCTACCTAGTGGAATCTTTAATAAAATAAACTTGAGTGGTTTGTTTTAATAGTGAGTATATAAACAAACAAGATGTATTGTAAGAGTCACTTTATTTTCCATTAATATTAAAGAAGTGAAGTTGCCTTTACATGCTTAAGCTGTTAATTTA